ATGTCTTTGGCGATCAGTGATTATCAATTAATCATACCGTTAAAAAATCCGATAAAAAAAAAAAGAAAATGACAAAGAAAGTTAAAAAACAGAGGGTTAAACATATTCGGGTCAACTATATAAACATCTAAAAGATGGTTTTTTACCACAATTCGTAAGTTATCTTATATGGTTCGCAATATTATTATTATTATTTTTTTTTTTTCTTCTCGCTATATCTTCTTGATGATCATGTAATCTATACAAAAATGGCGGGACTAAATATTTCCTTTTTTGGGTTTCGGATAGAAATTTTTTACGCCGATCTCTGCATGAGAGAGACACGAGCAGCCAAAAATGAAATGGTCATGTTACATATTACATATAAATAAATGTTGCACGACCACATATGGTAAGTCATGATGGTCAGTCCAAAATTATAAACCGCTAATAACTAATTAAATAAGCTATTATATTAATTATTTTCAATTTCTATTATCCTAGATGATAAGGTCAAACAAGATCAATATATAATTTCTTTCGGTACGTACTGTTTTTTAAAATGTGATTGTAATTAATTGCGTTATTTGATACATACATTTTAAATAATATTATAAAATTCAAAGATGAATACGATGATTGATCTATATTTAATGAACAACTTATCGTATATACCAAACTGGCTGTCGCTCAATTCTCTGAAAGTTAGTTCCCCTACAGACCACGTACCCGACATCACATAGGATTAGTATTAGTGTTTTATTAGTGCAAACATTCACTGTGATTGGTTAGATTTTGTTGATCATCTCGTGATTTTATCGGCCGATCGACCAATCAAATGTGTGTTGATCGTAGAATAACGGGTATGTAATATTAATATTGGCCTTTAAAGGTTTACTTAAATATCAAGACAATAAGAAAATTCATTCAGGTGATGAAAGTTGTACTGATATTGAAGTATATGAACATTGGAAACAACAAAATGCAATATACAATCATACATATGAGAAATAGCATTCTGCATTTGAAAAAAGATGGCAATATGAAGATAATAGTTTCAAATTTACAGAATATAAAGAAGTGATTGACAGTAATAGTGATATACTAACTGATAAATTAGACAATGCAGCAATGCAATAGTATATTCAGACCAGGTGAAGCACTAATATCTCCAGGTGAAAAACCTACTATTAGTGCAATTCTATTATGTGCTTTGCCATAGTATTGAAGTTTTAAAGTAAGTTTATATATTTAATATGACCAGTTGCATATACATTAAACAATTAGTTAAATGCATTGATTACAATTATATTAACAATTTTAGACTACATTATTTTAATTGTACTTTACTTTTGTAACTATTTGTATACAAAACAGAAATATATATTAATTATTATAATGAACAATTAATTTTATATATAGGTAACTCAACTATTTTGAAGAATACTTGATCCAACTCTTAGTTGTCTTGCAACTTCAAAACAACAAGATCAAAAAAGATATGAAAAAACTAGTAAAGGCTATTTTGCCATTCACTTTAATTGTAAACCACCACCAGAAACCAAAGAATAGATGATTAGTAATTCAGCACAAGAAATTCTTAAAAAAGGTTTTTTTAAAAAAAATAAGATCTTTCAGCTTGAAACTTTTATTATTTAAAAACATTTTCCTAATATTTATAAAGTTATTAAGCCAATACATGTCTCTTTACAATCTGTTGTGCTTCCAGAAGGTATAGAAGATAAGAACCATAAAAAATGCTAACAGCAGTGGGAAGCACAAAACTGGTCAGAAATAGAGATACCAAAATTGGACAGTGATACCAATAATGACTCTGATTCAAATAGAGATGATATAGACAATTCAACTAAATAAAATAACATCAAAAAAAGTCATCACATTAAACCAAAAAATAATTTTCAAAAGGAGAAAATGATTGGTATATCAAATAACATGCAAAAGGAATTAGACAGTGATGCTAACAATGAATCTGATTTAAATAGAGATGATACACATGATTCAATTAAACAAAATAATATTAAGAAACGTCATCACATCAAAACAAAAAAGAAATTTCAAAAAAAAAAGTCGGTATATCAAATATTGTGCAAAAGGTTAACTCTAACGAAGTAAAAAGCAAAGAAAAAGTGAAACATATTCTAGCTTCATTTAAAAATTTATTCAAAAAAGCAAAAACAGTACATAATTTAAATATAGAAATTCAATTTAAAGCTACTTATAGCTTAGCATTTAGTTTCATTATAAAAATAAATGTATTTCGCTTAGAATAATTTGCAATTTAAAATTTAAATAAATATTTAGCTTACTTGTTTGCATTTTAAATAATATTTAAATATAAAATTTTATTAGAATCATTTAAATTTAAAGAGTATTCAGTTAATTTGAACTAGATATTTAGTTTAAGTTCATTCATATTTCCAAGAGCATTCGGCTAATTCGAATTTAAAATTACTTAGCATTTTAAATAAAATCATTTATATTTCAGACTGCATTTACTAAAAGTCATTTCTATTTTAATAAGTATTCAGCTATAATAAAAGTAGTTACTGAACTCTTATGCTGAATATTATTGTTCATCTTTGCTGAATACTTGCAGAATGCTGTCAAACGCCAGTATATATTCAGCTAGCTGAATACTTGTCGAAAGAATTATTTATTATATATTCAGTTGCTATTCAACAAGGCTAAACATAGTCTGTACGTTCATAGGAAGACATTCATATGATTGGTTAATTTTGTAGATCTACCCGTGATTGCCCGTGACAATTAACCAATCAAAATATATAATTTTTAAGAAGACTTATCGTTTTAATACTACTAGAAAATGAAAAAAACTTCATATAAAGCTTACAAACTAATAAATACACGTAAAAGAAATTATTATATATACTTTAGAGAATAGGTAGATATGCGCAAAGTGGGATAAATATGATATTTATAACTAATAAACCCGAACTTATTAAAGAAACTACAAGCTATATAAACCAAAATTTTGATTTATAAATGACTAACCCAAATACACTACGAGAACGTCCAATTTTAAATATTAGATCCGGATCTTCTACCGTTAAAGAGCTTGTTCCTACTCAAGCTAAACGTTAGCAATAAAATTTTCTTTAGATCTAACGTAATAAAGTAGGTTTGAACAAAATTTATTTCAGTTACCTTCATTCTACAATATAATTTCGTGTGGTCCAATAAACGGAGTATATTTTTGTCTTATAAGCAAAGTATGCGGGGTGTAAGATGATTTAAAGATTATTTTGCATAGTGAATATAGACGTTGCTTCGAAGTTAGAAAAGGCTTTTGCAATGATTTTTTAATGGTGAAACGTTACGTTCTCAAAAAGTACTTTAAAGTGTATAAATAAGATACCCGGGCAATTGATTTACACCAGCCAATCAGACGAAAGTCCTCCTATGAAATGTACGTATAGTACTGTACGTGGCACATCACTAGATAGGCCAATCCATAAGTACAAATCGGTTAGATCAGTTGTGCATGGGAAGTTAAGCACAATCTCTCATTACCATTGCAGTGATATCTACCCCTATAAGAATTAGGGGTACATATCACTGCGATGATAATGGGTGAAATGATTTACAAGTTTTCCCTTTTCGTCACTCATTTCGTACGTACGTACGTACGTACCAATAAATTGTTTATGTGGCAGTAAAGTTTAATAAGCCATTTATGGGCTCAAAAGCTGGCACTACAGCCAGATAATAATTCGATTCTGTAATTACACATTGATGAGGCAAATTTAAAGATATTTTGAGTGTCTCGTTCTTAACTTCACTTACTGTAAAAATCAGATTTTTATCAAACTAATTTTAATATTTAGCTCAAAAAGTCACTAACATCAAGTCCATCCGTAATTTGTTATAAATACAGTGAACTCGAATTTACCGAATCAAAATTTTTACAGTATTATTTATAAAAATTATGACTTTAACACGACCGTTGTTTCCAATATAAAAAAAAACAGGTCCAATTTTTACTATAATATGTATTATATACTAGGAATCGAAATTCTATATAAGTCCGGAGCATAATTTAAAAAGTAGATTATCAACATCACGTGTGGACAGACGGAAAATTTAAAGTTACTTTCTTGATATTTTTAGATATAATGCATCAAAGCGTAATCCATCGCTTCGCTCCGGACAATGACATAATATTGATTATTTATACCATTATTTGCATCATTCATAAATACCGATATTTAAGACATATTTTAATGTTTATTTTTATTAACATAATGTTGGAATGTAAAAAATCGCTCAATATACGCAAGAACCAAATATTTATTTCATAATATTTTCATTTTTACAATTCGCTTCTATCGAAACAAAATGGTTTTATTTGTTATTTTGAACAGTGCCATAAGTTTTGAATCATAAATTATTGTTACCTTATCTCATCTATTCCGATAATTTACCGCTACGAAAATTTGAGCTTTTCGTTATAACTAATTATCATGTAAAATTTCATTAACAATAACATTAATACTTCTGTTTATATCAAACAAAACTGTTTGGACATCTATTGAAATAAAAAAAAATTTTTTCAGATAAAAATGCGCAAAAATATTTAACGCAAAGCCTACTTGACCAGAACTGCTTTATCATGTAATTCATGTAATCTGAGTAAGAATAAACCAATAAAAAATATAATTTAGTAGAATAGATAATCAAAAAAATCTCTTATCGTTATGTTAGTTTATATTACAGAAAAGGTACGTACGTATAATAATTGCAGAAAAACGGCAATAACTTTACCTTGATTTACTTTACGAGGCTTAGTGATTTTCCACATTGGGGGTTATTTTATTTGACTTAATTGTTATTTTCGCAAGCACAATCGTCGTAACTTTTTATTAATAGCTCTAATCTTTTCCATTTAAGTTTAAAGTTGATTTTCATCAAAAATTTTATATCATAAATCATTATATGCAGCTGCAGGTTTTCACGAAAATCATGATATGTGATCTGCGGCCATTTATACCTCTTCGAAAATAAACAATACTGCAATATGATTTATCTCATTTTCACATGAGCAAAATGATTGATAAAAATGTAGGAGACACACTATATATGTACGTACTGTACGTACGTACGTCTTTGTTATGAGCAACATTCGCTATAGTGCTACGTATATGCGCATGCCCCAAAATTTTGGTTATATTTATGATATTTTTAAGTTAAACATACTAATTCCGGCTCTAAACTTGATTGTGTTAATTTGGTTAACCATTTTTTGACTTTACATTTAATACGAAATATACGAATTTTAAAATTTTGGGGTGACATTTTTAGTTTTTTTTCTTAGTTTCAGCATCATCCCCGACATCAACTAAAAACTTTACAAAGAATATAAAAAGTCATTGATCAAATTACGTTATTCGATGTATTCTACCTATGTTTGCGGGCTGAATTCTGTGCAGCAGCTCTGCACCAGTATAATTTAGGATATATTACTAACCAGTTAATTATAATAATTCATTATCTGTCTGTGTAGCATACGTACAATAACGATGACTGTGCTTGCTAAATAATTTAAACTGCAAATAACGAGTTATTTGGCAAACACTATCATAGTAAGCTGCCAGATAAGGGATTTCTATTAAATAACACACATGTGGAATGTAACATAAAAAATTGAGTTATTGGCGTTTTATACAGATACCTTTTATATAAATGATATAAACTAATTGGGTTATAACGAAGAATTTCTTTGATTGAGAAAGCAAACTTTACTTATTCTGCTAAGTTATTATAAATTCTGTATAATTTTCACATTACGCTTCATTCATCCTTTCTCTTAATCAATAAAATCAATAATCAATTATTATAAAAATATGGCAGTCAAAGACGATGTAACGTTTAATGAACTCATAGCCAATGGTTTTTTTGAAAGAAATAAAGATTATATAAAAAAAGAAACCGAAGAAGAAAAAAAAAAAGACGAAAAAGCAAACGTAATTGACCTTTCCAAACCCGAATACGATGTAGTTAGTAATGATGATACATGTAAAAAAATTTATGTTTTGCTTGCAAATCGTAGAGCGTATAAAGTGAAAGAAGAATTGGATGATAGTAATATATTTGCGGCTTGGCTTTTCGAAGGTCGCAGGGAATCTTTAGAAAATGAAAATAAACTTAAAGCACCTTCTAATATTATTGGAATGAATAGAATAACTTATTTTGAAAACGTTAGACCTTTGTTTACTGAATGTGATGAGTGGAACATGAGAAATCAGCAAAAAAGACCGGGCATTGATATTCAACTTTGGAGTTATGATAATGTTAAAACGAATTATGACAAAATTCTTGCACGACTTAAAGCACGAAACATGCCTCCTGGCGCTCCTTGGTCCGATGAGCAAATTAATACATTTATCGCCTGGGGTTTAGACGGTAAACCAGATGCTGAAGTTCTTTCACCTATAAGACCGTATTATCCTGGAATTGAAATCAGCCCTGACAAATTGAATTTTGACCAACATATCAGTATTTTGTTTACAGAGGGCCATCATGATCGTATGATTGAACATAAAGTTGACAGATCTAAATACTCCAAAATGCGTGTAGATTTGCAAGATTATGAATCGGTTAAATATCATAAAAAAAATATTCTTGATCGTTTAACATTTCCCACCAAAGATAAAAGAATGCCCAAATTCAATCCATGGCCTATAAAAAATGTTAAATTATTCCATGCCTGGGCAGCACAAGGAGAAGAACCTTTAAGAGATTCAACGCCAGCTGATACTAAACCCTATAGTAAAGGAGCTCAAGAACTCATAGATATGCAAGGATATGTTGACAGATATATGAACGATCCAGATGCACCAAAAGAGTAAGGAAAGATAAATACAAAGTTGAAATTTTGTTCAAGATTTAGTATTGAAATATTAAAATTTTTAAAAAATGAAACATTTTGGAATATATGTAACATTTTAAATATTTCATACTTAAATAAATAGTTGAATTTATAAATAAATATTTTTATTTTTTAACAATTTAAATACGAACGTGAGTTTAAGATTTATACGTATCGAATAAAATGTAACATACGTATATCAAATTTTAATGCAAATTTATACATTATGGATCGTTCAAAATTGCCTGTTTTATAAAACCCGTAAACAAAATTAAAACCACTCTCTATACCTTGAATTATCGAATTAGTTAAATTTGGAGTTATCGAAAAATTGAACGTTCATTCCTTTGAAAATTAATAGTCAAGCTTACAGAACTGTTGAACATGGCGGCAAAGACAAGGCTTGGTTAAAAATAAATATATAAATAAATATATAATCAAATAAGGATAGCTGTACGATGCCGCGCAGGTCAGTATGACATGTAAAATTTAAAATATACATGAGACTCACGGACGAAAAAAAATCTCAAAATTCATTGATCCAACTAAATCTAAATTAAAAAAAGTGATAATAAAAATTCTGTTACAAACTTACGTGCTATTCCAATAACCACAACATATGGCCTAGCTTGCATCTTAATTATTATGATTTCTATGTAATTGAGGTTTAGCTAATTGCATCGGAATTATCATGATTTCTACGTAATTAAGGTTGTTAGTTTGTATCTGAATCATCGTAATTTCTACTATAAGAAATTCTTTACAGAACTTACTCGCTATTCCGACAACACATGATTGTTTTAGTTCGCATAAGTATTATGATTATGATTTACATGTAATTAAGATTGTGCTAGTTTGCTCCTGGGTTATTATGATTTCTATGTGATTAAGGTTGAGTTAGATTGCATTTGAATTATAGTGATTAAGTCTCACTGTTAAGTCTCACTGTTAAGTCCCACCTTTAGGTCTCACCATTAAGTCTCACCATTAAGTGTCGCCATTAAGTTCCAATAAGATCTAGCTTCTGAGCTTTATCACGCAATTTATTATAATATCGCATAACATAATATCCTCTAATATGCTCTGCACACTGGCCACAAGCTAAAAAAATTAATGATATAATATATTAATTAAGGGTAAATATTTTTATTTAAACAAAAGTTTATCCATTATATCAGCAGATGAGACTTAATAATATTATGCCTAGAAGTGATAAAAAAAATCAGATAGGTACATGTTGTGGATATACTTTTACAAGACCAGAAAAACTTTATAAGCATTATAAAAGCAAAAAAAATCAATGTAATGCACCAATTACCCAAACCCAAGTATCTAAATGGATACACACTCCTGTCTCTAAAGCTAGACCAGCTTTGGCAACCCGAGTAGATAGTGAAGCCAGTTCAGGCCCTGCAGAATGAACTTCAAGAGGCAATAAAAGATAGCAATGTAAAACTGAACCAATCCAATATACAACTAGACTTAATAAAAGAAAAATACTTTAAAGCAGATAAAAATGCCAAAAGGCAATATCCAATTTGAGAAAAAAGCTGCTGATATATCAAGACATCATAAAATCTTTCATTATTAAACAAATAGGAGTCAATAGTTCTATCTTGAAAAAATATAGCATATACATTTAATAAAGGCATAAAACCCCAAAAAGAATATGTAGATGTGCTATATATACTACATTTTATAGGATCAACTAGAGAAAAAATAGCTAAAATTATCCAAACGGAGTTACAAAAAAAAGAGCAAATCAAATCAGCATTAGTTGTATCATGCAAATATACTAAAATGCAAAAATGTGGTAATTAATGCTTTTCTGTTTATAAAGAATCCTATTACAGAGGAGATATGCAAGTAATTCTTTCTAAAGATAATATAGATGATTATCTAACTCTTTTATAGATAAGAAAATTGAGAAAATATTAGAAGGTAGATCTAACTAACAACTAATCTAAATTGATAAAGTATTTATTGAGGCTTATACCTATTGTTACTCTTTGGGAGGATTATATATCCCAATATCTAAAAAACTTGCTAATACAAAGTGTGCTATTAATCTAGATAATCAAGATTTAGTCAACTAAAAACAAATACTTTATCAGAAAAATGTCTTCAAAGAGCATGAGAAGTTTATTTTGCATATCAAGATGGATATACAGAACATCTTGAGCAAGTTTTTAGAGCTAAGAAACTTAAGCCATACTTGAAAAAAGTTATGCTAGATGGAGTTCCTATGCCTACTTCAATTTGCTCACAAATATTTAACAAGATAGAAAAGATAAACTCTGATATCTCTATTAATATCTGGGAATAGAAAGAAGAATCAGAAACTTCCAAGCTAGTAATAGCCAGCAAAAACTATAATAGGCAGCATATTATATATCTAATAGCACTTACAGATATTACGAAATCTGAAAATGATAAATATAGACAAAAAATTACTTTCTTTAAATTAAGAACCTAGATGGGTTGGTTTATAAAGATAATATTAAAAAAGTTAAAAAGCATTTATACAACCTATGCTTTCAATTCTTTCATCAGAAAATCTCTAGCCTATTATCAAGAACACTGTTTAGGATTAGAAAAAGAGTCAAATTACCTATCAAAAGAGTCAATGATTTTGAAATGGCCAAATAATTAATGCTCTATATGTAATTATAGCAGATTTTGAAGCAGACAAGAACAAATTCAAAAACTTGCTGAGCAAAAAGCTTTTGTTATTTAGTTCATTGAATCGATACTAGGGATAAATAGGAACCTTTTCTATACTGAGAAAAAATGTTATACAAGAATTTGTCTGAAGAATCAATAAGGAGTTGATTGAAATTAATAAAGTTTTAGCTATTAAGCTTGACCGAATTAAGACGAGAAAAAATTTGCCAAAGCAGATATCTGTTGGATATATAAAGAAAAGCTTGCTATAAATGATAAGGTCTGGGACCACTGTCATATAACAGGTAAGTTTCGAAAACTTGCTTACAATACCTGTAATCTCAAACTCCAGATCGAAGCATGGAAGACACCAATTCCAGTTATTTTTCATAACTTCCAGGGCTATGTGAATCTGTTGAAAAATCAGTTAATACTTATCAAATCAGAGCTATAGCTAAAACATTTGAGCGATACAAGTCTATAAAAGTAGATTAGCTTAAATATATAAATAGTATGCAATTCATGAATAATAGCTTGGCAAATCTTACAAAAAATTTTTGGATACCAACTACCCTATTACAAGCCAGCACTTTAAAGACTATTCTTTAGATAAAATTTCTCTAGTATATCACAAAGGAGTTTATCTCTATGAATATATCAATTCACAAGATAAATTTCTAGAGACTAAGCTTCTGCCAATTCATGAATTTAGTACATATCTTCATGGTACAATTAGCTAAAAATATTATAAGCATGCCCAAAAAGTATAAAAAGAATTTAGATACCAAAATCTAGGTGAGTATTATAATCTCTATCTTAAAACTAACATACTTAGCCTTGCTGATCTAGACTCAATTTCAAAAGACATATATGCAAAATTATAAACTTGATCCTAGTTATTACATATCTGCACCTGCACTAGCTTGGAATGCTATGCTTAAAATAACTGAGGTTAAGATAAAGCTTTTTACAAATATGGCTATGCATTATTTTATCAAAAAAGCCAAGTGTGGTGGCATAGCTATAGCATGTAAATGATATTTCAAGGCTAATAATTCTAAAATATGTAACACATTTAACCCATCCAAGCCCATATCATGAATTTCATATATTGATACAAATAATCTTTACAGTTGGGCCATGAGTCAGTATCTACCTATTGGAAATTATAATTGGAAGCTAAGTTGTAAATATTTTAAAGACAATCCAAATGAGCAAAAAAAATATCTTGAAAAAATTCTTAATACTAAAGCAGATACTAAAAAAGGATATTATCTAAATATTAAAACATACTTTCACAGGTAGAAAAATGGCAAATCAGTATGTTTACTGATTTTAGATAAATTAACAAATAGATTTCAATAAACATCAATAGGCATCCTAATTTGAATCTGATAGGATACTAATTTGAAGATATTGGACAATATCATCATTTGCCGATTTCTTCTGGATTTTGGCACAAATCAGCCTAAAATAGACTTCAATCGGAAATGCCTATTTGTGCTAATTTATTAATTCGAATGCTGATTAGACAAATAAACTACAATTAGCAAATTACTGGCTGAACAATTTTTATTAAATAGTATTTTAGCTGATTACAAATTATTGACCAATCGGCAATATAAATAAGCTAATTATTTAAACTATTTAACTTTTAATACTGTAATATTGATATAAAAAGCTAATTAAGTTTTTCGCATATATTGATATTAAATTATAAAGTTGATTTTAAGTTATTTTTTTAGCATGAAAAAATATGTTTTTAATTCATCCAATTTTTATTTACTGTAGTATTGATGTAATATCTATGGCATAAATTAAATTACATTGTTGGTTCAAAAATTACTATAATAAATATAATTTATTATAATATCTATATTATGTATTAAAATTTCAGTTAAACACTTGCCAAATATGCTTGGTGAGTTTAATTTGTACGAAAGTTTAAAGAAAAAACTGTTCTTGTCAACTATTAAAACTTGACAAGAAATATAAAAAAGGCATCAGATAATAAATTAGCCTTTATAAGCTAATATTAAAAGGTTAGTTACAATCAAGAGTTCGTCAATTGGACTAAAAATTCAACTAAAGTCGAGATTCCAAAAAATCAAAACTTTATTAATATTTATCAATAATGTGTTAAAAATCAATAAAATCAAAGTGAAACAGTAGATCTAACAATTAAAGATTCTCTAGAAGCTATATCTATGACAAAATACTTTTAAGTATTAATATAAAAGAGCATTTTATAAAATTGGTAAAGGTTCATAAAATAAAAATATATATAAATATATAAAATATTACCTTTTCAACCAAAGTTCCATCTCAAAACAAGTACTAGCAGGTTTTTCTTTCATTAAAACTTTCGCACCTTAATCAAACTATTTTAAAAGAATGTGGTTTTTTTGAAAGCGATATACAAGAACTCGACTTATAGAAGATATTAATAGGTCTTCTAAATTTTTTTTCAATAATTTGCTAGTGAATATAGTTTGAAAGTATTATATTTTTGAATTCAACAAGAGATGTATATAATTTTATATTTATATTATCCACTAATTTTAAATTATATATATTATATCAATTTTTATTGAATTTATTATTATTATCTTTATAACCTTAACTGGATCAGCTAAAAAATCATTCGGCTAATTTTTTATCAGGTGTCCCAGTATGAGCCCCAGAATCCTACCTAACTACTGTGGCCTGAGTATAACCCAGGATCATGGGTCAAGTCAATTTATCTAATTTATTCAATTTATCTGATTTGTCGCATTTGTTAGATTTATCAGATTTGTATTATTTGTCAAATTTATTGAATTCATTGTAATACCGAATCCTTCATTATAAATAAAGGCTGTGAAGGCCCTAAGAACAATAAGTTTCGAGCTGCTTACAATTATTGTCTCTAATAAATTACCCATTGGCCTATAAAATATCTAAATAAGCCTGCTATACCAAATACTTTTTATAACTGTTATCTCGACAGGCCACTTCGACCAGCTACAGTTATTGCTTTGATAGTTCCTCACCAGGGATGGGTTGGGTGGGACAAAAAAACCAGACAAAGTCAGGTTAGCAGAAAAACAAAAATTACCTTTCCTGAAAAAAACTAGTTCCCTTTAAATACTACTACAGTATACCCTGTCAAAACTGATCCTGTCAAAACCGATAACCTTTCACAACTAATAAAAATTTGATCCACCATATCAGTTTCATAATTCAAATCTGATAACCTGTCATTTCTGATAACCGATGCTCAAAATATCAGATATCTATAAGATATTAGATTTGTAAGATAAAATTTATTGATTTAATTGTCTCAAATCTGATTCTGTATAACTAAAAATATATGTATAAATATAATTTAGCCAATTATATTTAGCTATTATCATGTGACTATTAGGCTATTAGTATCTTAAATCCAATAATCTCTCAAAGCTGATACAAAAGCTGTCCACCATGCATACCAGTTTTGACAGGGTATATTGTATATCATATCGATTACTAATGGCAAATAATGAAATCATTAGAATTCGAAGAAAAACTCGAGGAAAAATATATTATAAATTAAAATGCTACGAAGAATCTCTTGTAAACTTTTCTATATTATTTATGTCAATACATCACAAAGTTATATACTATTCATCAAACAAAATCATACAATAAATCAAGACGATATATCACAATGCCCAATGATCGATTCGAGATAAAAAAGCTGCTCTGATACTTTCGTATCAGGTAGCTAATTTAGTGATGGGTAATCTGCGTGTAATGTGCAGACTTTTTTGGATCCCACGCGAGATATATTGTATAATTTGAACAGTGTTATAAATTAGGCCAGGTTTTGAGGTCGAGACCAATTTTATAAGATTCCAAAATATAGAAAAATCTGCTGATATAGGTGATGCTAAAGGGATA